GGAGGGAAGGAACTCGGAACTCGGAGGGAAGGAAGGAACTAGGAAGGAACTTGGAACTCGGAAGGAAATAACTCAGAACTGGGAAGGAAGGAGGGAAGGAACTTGAAAGGAACTCAGAAGGAACTTGGAAGGAAGGAACTCGGAAGGAATGAAGGAAGGAAGTTGGAAGGAAGGCAGGAACTCGGACAAATGGAAGGAACTCGGAAGGAAGGGAGGATGGAACTTGGAAGAAACTCGGAAGGAATAAAGGAACTTGGAAGGAACTTGGAAGGAAGGGAGGAAATCGGAAAGAAGGAAGGAACTCGGAAGGAACTCGGAAGGAACTTGGAAGGAACTTGGAACTTGGAAGGAAGAAAGGAACTCAAAAGGAACTTGGAAGGAAGGAAGGAACTTGGAACTTGGAAGGAAGAAAGGAACTCAAAAGGAACTTGGAAGGAAGGAAGGAACTTGAAACTTGGAAGGAAGGAAGGAACTCAGAAGGAATTAGGAAGGAACTTGGAAGGAAGGAACTTGGAAGGAATTTGGAAGGAACTTGGAAGAAACTCGGAAGGAAGGAACTCAGAAGGAATTAGGAAGGAACTTGGAAGGAAGGAACTCGGAAGGAAGGAACTCGGAAGGAATTTGGAAGGAACTTGGAAGAAACTCGGAAGGAAGGAACTCAGAAGGAACTCGGAACTCAGAAGGAACTCGGAACTCAGCAGGAAGGAAGGAACTCAAGAGGAAGTAAGGAACTTGGAAGGAAGAAGGGAAGGAACTCGGAACTCAGAGGGAAGGAAGGAACTAGGAAGGAACCTGGAACTCGGAACTCAGAAGGAAAGAACTCAGAACTGGGAAGGAAGGAGGGAAGGAACTTGGAAGGAACTCAGAAGGAACTTGGAAGGAAGGAACACGGAAGGAAGGAATGAAGGAAGGAAGTTGGAAGGAAGGCAGGAACTCGGACAAATGGAAGGAACTCGGAAGGAAGGGAGGATGGAACTTGGAAGGAACTCAGAAGGAACTTGGAAGGAAGGAACTCAGAAGGAAGGAAGGAAGGAAGGAAATCGGAACTCAGAAGGAACTTGGAACTCAGAAGGAAGGAAGGAACTCAAAAGAAGGAAGGAACTCGGAAGGAACTCGGAAGGAACTTGGAACTCGGAAGGAACTTGGAAGGAACTCGAAAGGAAGGAAGAGAGGAACTCGGAAGGAACTTGGAAGGAACTCGGAAGGAAGGAACAAAGGAAGTAAATTGGAACTCAGAAGGAACTTGGAACTCGGCACTCGGAAGGAAGGAACTCGGAAGGAAGGAAGGAACTTGGAAGGAACTTGGAAGGAAGGAACTCGGAAGGAATGAAGGAAGGAACTTGGAAGGAAGAAAGGAAGGAACTCGGAACTCAGAAGGAACTTGGAACTCAGAACTCGGAAGGAAGGATGGAACTCGGAAGGAACTCGGAAGGAAGGAAGGAAGAAACTCGAAAGGAATTCTGGCTCAGCCTCGAGGAGTGACCTGGAGGGGTCCCCACCCAAGGGAGGAATCTCCACACACCCCCGAGAAGGGGATGTTGGAAGAACCTGCTGTTTGAAAGCGGGGCTGGACTTTTCCAGGATGAAGTGCTGGAGTGTCACTCAGGTGTCCCCAGGGCAGCTGTGCCAGCTCAGCATTTTTAGACAAGGACACTTCTCCAGCTCTGCCACATCTTCCCCTCAGGCTCAGGGTGTTGAACTTTTGATGATCAGCCTGATTTTAGCCCAGTTCACCCCCAAAAGCAACCTGACCCCCCTCAGCCCACCCTGAGAGCTTTGCAGACAGGAGATGGCATTGCTGGAACTGTTTGACCCCATTCCAGCAGAGATCCTGCTCCAGCATCCCTGTTCTTCCTTAGCTTTTGTCCTCCTTTGCACCTGCGGTAGCTGCTGCTCTGAGCAGGAGCGTCCTGTGGTCAGGCCTTGCCTCCAGGAAACCCATTCAAACACAAAGTAAAACTCTGAGGCTGCTGCAGGTAGTGAGCAAAAATATTTGCAAATCCCATCATTTCCCAGGAGCTGAATCCATCACTAGTGAGAGTCACATAGATTTTTTTTTTTCCTTTCAAAAGGACTTGTTGTATTAAACTATTTTGTAGATATTTTATCTCTTTTACTACTAAAAGTGGCTACTAGACTGACTTCACAGTTATTTATTGCAGAGATAAAAATGAGAGGAAAGCTGATTTTTAATGCTGGAATATCATTTACTGTCTGGGTGTGCATAAGCAAGAGAAATTATTGGGTATGGACCTGAAGATGTAGAGTTTGAGCCTAGAGGTCATTGAGAGATGCCTGGACAGAAATAGCTCCAGGCAGGAGCTCGTGCAGGAGATGGAATCCACCTTTCAGCAACTATTTCTCCAATTACTCGCTGAGATAGAAACTTATCTTGGGAATAAAATCCAGCTCCTGGCCAGATGCTGCCTTTGGACTGCTCTGGGATTTCACATTCAGTTTGTTTCCATCAGGCTCCTCAGGCCTGCTCAGAATTAGTATTTTCCACGTTCCCCATTTGTCCTCCCCCTGCTCCTGCCTGCCTGCTAATCATGATCCACACTCATGGATTTTAGATGGATAGTCCTGTAATGTCGGTTCTTTGTTTGCCCAGATCCCAAATTCTCATGACAAAATTTGCTCCTACAAATATTTTCCGGGGAATAATTTTATGAAATGTTCACAGATGATTGAACTGTTGTCCCTTTGTTGCATTTATTAAGAATTGATGCTGCACCTTCTGCTTTTGTATCAACTCCAAGTGAAGGTAGGATCCACTTCCCACACAACCACTCTTCCTCTACCCCAGAGTCATATCAGGTTCAGGGTGTGGTTTGCTTTTAATCCTATATAATCACAAAAATGTCTGGGGGGATGAATATCCCAGTGAAGAAGTGTCACAGCCAGAGATCAAACTCATGTTTTCATGGAGTGCACACCATTCATATGGGAAGTTGCCTGGATTTATTTGGCTGATATCCCTCCAGGATCTTCCCTCGCTTTGCTCCACACACATCTCTTTCCCCAGGGGCAGCAGATCCACTGAAATCTGTCACATTGAAGTTTCCACTGTGTTTTCTCCCTGCTTTTCTGCCACCAACTTACCCCATGAACACAAAAGGAAGATTTGATTTTCAAAGGGTATCTGGGAGGAACTATGAGCTGCTGAGAGAGACAGGCTGGGACTTGCTGAACAGCACAGTTTGTGCCTTCCTTTGATCCCTTTACTGCCATCAGAAAATTGGACCAAGATATCAGGCCCAGGATATCAGAAAAACAAGCAGAAATACAAAGTTACAGCACTGTTCTTGGATTACAGGGCTCTTCCTCATGGGTTTGGGCAGAAATTGGGGGTGTAGAAGGTGTGTTCAGACTGCTGGGGCTCAAATTAGGGAAAGAGCTGAGGAACCCTCATTCTGCAGAGCTGAATTTGCTGCTTCTCCATATCTAGTCACCAGATTCCACTGCTTTCCCTGTGATTTCTCCAGTGGCAGCACCCTCTTATCCTCTACATCCCCTATATCCTCTCATCCTCTGCCTCCTCTCATCCTCTGCCTCCTCTCATCCTCTACCTCCTCTCATCCCCTGCATCCTCTCATCCCCTGCATCCTCTCATCCCCTCATCCCCTCTGCCAAGTGGGGTTGTGACTGTGATGGAACAGAGCTGTCCCCATGAAAAGTGCCCTCGATGGTGCTGGAAAGGGCACCCCTGTGTGTAGGAGCTCAGAGCAAACACAAACACATGATTTTGGAAGGATCCACCTGCCCTACCCTGTCCAGAGCAAACCACACATCCAGGAGGAAGAGCCTCTGGGAACACCAGGTTGCAGATCATTCATCTGCTTCTTCCATATGAGGCAGGATTTTGTTGTCTTCATAATTAATTAGATAATGAAGAGCTTTGCTGCTTGGGGGACTCGAAGTGACCACCAAAAATGGGCTGATGGCACAAAAGGACTGAGCCCAGGCAGATCTGGGACAAGCAGGAGGCCACTCAAGCAGAGTAGGACAAGTCTATTGATAATCACTAATAAATATGATTGATAATCAGAAATAAATGTGATTGATAATCAGTAATAAATGGGATGCCCAAAGACTGAGGGGTTGCTGAACACATTTGCAAGGGTGTTTTAAAGAAACAGTTCCCCTGCAGGCAGGAAGGCTCTAAATTGAGGAGAGGGGTGGGCTTTGTGCAGATATTGTTCTGCTGATGTTCTGCTCGTGCAGATCCCAAAACACGCAGCAAAGAAACATAAGGGAAGAGGGAGTTGGTTTTCCAAGACCTCCAAGCTTTCCAGAGCTGGAGTGCAAACAGATGCAATAATTGGTCATTTGCAGCCCTTTTTGTGTAGCTCACACTGCATCCAATGGATAAATGGAAAATATACTAAAAGTTTTAAACAAAAATAGCCTAAAGAAAGCAATTGGCCATTGAGTCTTTGCCAGAATGTTTGGAATGGCCTTGGGAGAATCCTGCAGCCTGGCTTGTACACATTGGCAGAAGGGGGTGGTTGAGAGGATCTGAAATTTTAGGTTCTTCTGGGTGATTTAGGATCTCACCACAGAAAATTTTAGCATGGATTAATAATGTTTAACCCTTTAAAAGACACTTGGGAATGGAAACTCTGAGGAAGGAAAACTCAAGAAATTTGGTGATTTCATGGGAAAAAAAATACAAACAAAAAAGGACTGAAGGAGATCAGGTACTTACAAAAAAAAAAAGGATTGACAGAAAGCCTTAATGCAGGGGAAAAAAAATAAAATAATTGTAATAGAAGAAACTTGTGGCTTCATTGGGTGATTTTCAGGGATTTGCAAACCAGAAAGGAAACTTATCACGAGTGGAAACTAAATGTGAAAATAAATTAGCAGAAGGTATGAAATGAAGATGGAAAATGAAATAAATCCTTGGATAATCCCACACAGAGTAAATAATAGATGATATGGAGAGAGCTTAAGGAGTCAGAAAATGTTATCTTTTTACCAATTATTGACGCAGTTGGTTTGAAGGGAGGAAGGAAATAGGAGTTTATTGAAATGCTGGATCCTCAGCCTTCGCTTGTGAGAGCACAGAGAGGGAGAATGACATCCCAGGAGACCTGGAGGGAATAAATACAACACCTGCCATTAAAAAGGAGTAATTGAGTAACCTGGGGGAATCCAGACAGGTCAGTGTAACCTCATACCTGGAAAAATCCTGGAATAAGCAGTTAAGCAGGGGTTTATAATCACCTGGAGGATATATAAGGTAATAAGATAGAACCTACATGGATTTGACACAAAACTATTCATGTTGCAACAACGTAATTTCTTCCCCTTGGCAGGATAACCTGTGCAGGGGCTGAGGAAGGAGGTGGGTGTGATATATCCTGGCTCTGACACGGCCCCACACGGCAGAATGGGAAGAGTGTTTGGGAAAAACGAGTTGCAGGAAACTGGGGAGAAATCACCCCGGGAAGGCTGGATCTCAGGGAAAGGTTCTTCCCCCAGAGGCTGGTTGGGCACTGCCCAGGCTCCCCAGGACAGTGGGCACAGCCCCAAGGCTGCCAGAGCTCCAGGAGGGTTTGGATGATGCTCTGGGGCACAGGGGGTGACTCTTGGGGCTGGGCCTGTGCAGGGCCAGGGTTGGACTGGATGATCCTTGTGGGTCCCTCCCAGCTCAGCATGCTCTGTGACACTGGGATTCTCTTCCTTGGTGGTCCAGCCCAGGGTGGGCTCTGTCCCACAGGGCTCTGGCCTGTGCTGAGGGCTCTCAGCAGTTTTGTTTTACATCTTCTAAGGCAGAACAGGGCACAAATGTTACGTTGTGGCCACAGAGGACCAAGAGCTCAGGTGGGAACACAAAAAGTCCCTGTAGTGCCTATAATGGATATTTCCAGGCACAGGGAAGGGCCCCCTGACAGGGAGGAGCCCTGCCCAGTCCAATCCTTGTCTGACAGGGGCTCTGTCACCATCCGCTTCTGCAGCCACTGCTGGCAAGAGACTGGTCACAGAACCCCTCCTGCTGCAGTCTGGGTGTGAACTTGTCTCCAGTGTTTGCACAGATCAGTTTTGCTGACCAGCAGCAGCAGGACAACCAGGCAAATGAGTTCTACAGGTTCTTCTTGAGGAAAAGGGCCATTCTTATTCCATGTTCTCTGCGGCAGCTTTATGAGCCCTCAGCTGAAAGACTGAATTTGCTTCTTAACTAAAGTCTAAAAAACTCAGAAGGATACTAGTGCAGCATGTTGGTTGCTTGCTGTAAATGTGTGAAGTCTGAAGTGATCTGTGATTAGAATGTGGCTCAGAAGACTTTTCTCTCAAAACATCTTTGCCCCTTATTCACTATGGCCATAAATTTTGGCAGGGGCTGCCCAGGGAGGGGTTGGAGTCCCCACCCCTGGAAGTGTCCAAGGCACAACTGGAGGTGGCACTCGGTGCTCTGGGCTGGGGGACAGGGTGGGGATCAGGCACAGGTTGGACTCGATGGTCTTGGAGGTCTTTCCCAACCAAAATGATTCTGGGATTCTGTGAAAAGTGGCACAACATGTTCTGGCAACTCAGGCAGTGTCTTCACACTGAGATGGACACCTGATTCCTGCTGGTTGAAAACAGAGTAGATTTATGTTTGTGCCCTTCCCAAACCTTGCAATGATCAACTCAGACCTTGCCCTGACCTTCAGAAGTATGAAAATCCAGCTCCTCAGCCCACAGCTCTCTGAGCCTTCCATGGGGTCCCCGTGGACTCGATGGGATTCCCTGTGGAATGCCTGTGCCTTTTGGAGCATTCCAGGCTGCAGCAGCAGTGTCACAATGATGGGCTTTGAGCACAGGAAACATCACAAATGTCAGGGGAAGGTTCAGAGCAATATTTGCCACATGTGGAAACAGAAAAGATGATTAGAAATAAAACACAAAACACAATTGAATTTGTATTGAGCTACGTAGGAAATGTGTATTTTCATCCCATAAAGTTCATTCACAAGGAGTTTAACACTGCAGAGAACTGTTATGTGGCAAATGTCTCCAACTGGTCCATCCCCAGATAACACTTAGATAATCCATCAAATTTTCTTCCTCTACTTTTAAGCAAATGTATTTCCTAGAAAAACAGGCCTGGGAAGGAGCTGGAGGAGTTGTGGGTCCTCCCGCTTTGGGCACGTTCCCTCCAGCCCTCCAGTGATGGAATTGCCTCAGACCTTGTGCCCGACAACTTCTGGGGACACCCCCGTCCCACTGAGGGGCCACCTGTCCCCATGTTCCTGGCAGGAAGCCCTTACAACTCATCCTGAAGTGTACCCTGTCTGCTTTGGCAGATGATTGGTGACCTCAGCACCCCGGGAGCTCTGTAAATGTGCCAAACCCTTCACAGGATAAAAATGGGAATTACACAACTCTTTCAATGCTGTCACCTCTGGTGTCTTCTCAGCTTTCTGCAGAGCTCACTCACAGCCTCTCTCACAGTTCAGAGGGGAGATAACAGACAGGAATTGTTCTGGAGGTTCTGAGACACAAACACTGGGAAGATTTCAAAGTGCTCTGGAGGGTGGGATCAGATTTGAACATGATCTTGGTGAATTGGAGGCATGACCCAAAATAAATGCAATCAAATTCAGCAGAGACAAATGCAAACAGCTCAGGCTGCTGGAGTTCAGGCAGGTGAGGTCACCCCTGCCATCAAAGCTGGGGTGAGAATTTTCTATCCCTCCCCCACCTCCAATCTGCTCATTTCTGCCTTGGTATAAATTTGCTGCCCTTTTAGGTGTGATGATCAACTCTTGGTGGGGCTGCATGACAAAACAGCTCCCTGAGACAACTCCGAATAAAAATACCTCTTCTTTATTTGTAAAGTGTGACATGGATGGTGGTTCAGCTCCTGCTCTGGTTCACAGCACAGTCTATCTGTAGGGGAAGCAATCTGAAGGAGGGAGAAACAAATGGGCTGCCAGGAACATGGGAGCAGAAACTCTACTGCTGGAGCCAAGTTTCAGGCACATACATTTGGATGAAGGAGAAATCAGATGTACAAATACAATATGGGGAATAGTTAGAGCAGCACAGCACAGCCCAAGCTCAGAGTCAGTCTGCCACAAACTCCATGTGGAGCCTTTGCAAAGAATAATCCTGGAATCAGGAATCACAGGATGGTTTGTGTTTGAAGAGATCAAAAAGCTCATCTTGTTCCACCCCCTGCCATCCACAGGGACACCTTCCACTAGCCCAGGTTGCTCCAAGCCCTGTCCAACCTGGCCTCGGACACTTCCAGGGATCCAGGGGCAGCCACAGCTTCTCTGGGCAACCTGTGCCAGGGCCTCCCCACCCTCACAGCCAAGAATTCCTTCCCAAAATCCCATTTAAACCTAGTCTCTGTCAGTCTGAAGCCATTCCCCCTTGTCCTGTCACTCCAGTTCCTGATGACAAGCAGATGAACAGCAGCCAGGAACCTAAACCTGACCTTGGAATACAGCAGCAGGAGGCATTTAGAATGGGAGGTCATCAGCTTCCTGCTGGGGCTGTTCCTGTCAAGGCACCTTCATATTCATGCGGGTACCTTGGAGGGAAACCAGAAAAAGAGGTTCCACGTGGAGAAATCAGTGAGGAATTGGTAAATTTTCCCTTCTAGAAAAGAGAAGCGAGGGAAGGCAATCCAGTGCCAACAACATAAATGCAGTTAGAGAGGAACAGCAACTTGATGTCCATCTTGTACAGGGTGAAAGGGCAAAAAATGAACAGCTGGTTTTGCATAAAAGATAGTTCAGTAATATAATAATAAAAAGCCTTCTGCCCATCCAGAGAGAGAAGTGCAGGAACAGAGCAGGGACAATTATATCTGCACAACTGCAGGGGAGAACCTTATTAATACATCTCTTAAGGGTTGATCCCTGGCTGTGCTTCAATTCAAGTGGGAGATTAAATGATCTCCTGAGGCTCCTTTAAGCCTTGTGTCCCATGATCTGTGCCGTTTTTTAGTGGCATAGGAAGCTGTGGCCTAAAAAAACAACAACCAAAGGAAGATAGTACTTTAACAATGACAAGGCATCTCCAAGCAAGGTGACCTCATCTTGAACTCTGCTAGAAAGGGAACTGATAAAAGCTGGGGTAGGAACAGCAAACATAATGATTAGAGACTTGGGAAACAGCAACAAGCTTTTCATGTCTAGAAGGAGATGAAATCTGGGAACATCACATTGAGCAAACTGAGGACAAGTGGGTGTGCTCGGAATCTTGACTCTGCCTTGTACGGAATTATACTTTATTGACACATATCAGACTGAAGACTAATGAAGAAGATTGGGCAGAAGCAGGGACTGGATTTTGTTTGTTTTATTGTAATTGGTTTTCACAATAGATAATTAACTGTAGAACTCATTGCTCTAAGACATGTCAAAGACTGGGAACTTATCAAGGAGAGATAGAACAGGAGAGGTGTCAACAAGAATGAGAGATAGAATATGTATTTAGGAGGAATAAATTATTCCTGCTGGCAAATTAAATCAGCCACTAAGCCCTATGGACAGGCAAGATGTAGTTTTGAAGCACAGTGTGGAATATTTGCCTATTATGGATGTTTATTCCATATGGTGCCATCCACCACGTCCGGCACAGTGAGTCAGCAGCAGATCTATGTCATGGAATGATGGAATCATGGAGTGATTTGGGTTGGAAGGGACCTTAAAGCCCATCCAGTGCCACCCCCTGCCATGGGCAGGGACACCTCCCACCAGCCCAGGTTGCTCCAAGCCCTGTCCAACCTGACCTTGGACACTCCCAGGGATCCAGGGGCAGCCACAGCTTCTCTGGGCAACCTGTGCCAGGGCCTCCCCACCCTCACAGGGAAGGATTTCTTCCCAATATTCCACCTAAACCTACCCTTTTCAGCTTAAAGCCATTGTATTTTTGTCTTCACAGCTGCAGCAGGACTAAATCTCTGCAGGCTGGAGTTTGACACTGGCATTTGTGGGCACTGAAAAGAAAATACCTTCAGATCTTACGAGCACCAGCCAAGTGCTGAACTTGTGTTACATTTGGGAATCCAGCTCTGGAGGAATGTTGGGCCAGGCTGAAGAGTTCCCCTGTAATAGCAGATGTCCAAAACAATCCAGTGGCTCAGGGAAAGCCTCTGTGGTTGAGCAGGAGGAGACAAAGTGTTGGAGAGTGTCCAAAGAAGGGCAATGAGGCTGGGGAAGGGACTGGAGCACAAGTGCTGTGAGGAGAGGCTGAGGGGGCTGGGGGGGCTCAGCCTGGAGAAGAGGAGGCTCAGGGGAGACCTCCTCACTCTCTGCAACTCCCTGACAGGAGGGGGGAGCTGGAGGAGGTCGGGCTCTGCTCCCAGAGTAGGACAAGAGGGCACAGCCTTAAGCTGTGCCAAGGGAGGTTTAGGCTGGACATCAGGAAGAAATTCTTAATGGAAAGAGTGCTCAGCCACTGGAATGGGGTGTAGTCACTGCCCTGCAGGTGTTAAAGGACAGACTGGATGTGGCAGCAGGGCCATGGTCTGGGTGACACAGCAGGGTTGGGTCATGGGTTGTGCTCAATGGTCTCAGAGGTCTTTCCCAACCTCAGTGGTTCTGTGGTTCTCTGAAGGCAGAGGAGGCAGATCCTGGGCTGGTGAAGCCCAGCAATGCTCAGGGGCTGTTTAACAGTGCTTTTTGTGCAGGAGAGTTAATGACAGAATTAGAGGAACTGTAGGGGAACATATTGATTTTCAAAGCTGCATGAAAGAGAAACATCATTGCTTAATGCTCAAGTACAGGCCCTCCAGTAAATACCTTTTCAGGCGAGAAACTGCCCTCACCTCCTCCTGCAGCTCTGCTCCAGCACCATGAAATCGAAGAGAATCTCAGCTCCAGTGAGATGGGGCTGCTCTGAACCGGTGGTTAGAATTTGATGATAATAAGGAGTTGTGTGATGGGGATGAAACTTCTTCATTGAATATATATATATCTCTTCAAATTGCACCCAGCAAAACCAGTGGGCAAGAAAAAATAATAAGATCCAAACCTTTCCTTTCCAATACACACATTTTATTTTTATTTTAGGTCTTCTTGCCCCTCTAGCAAAAGGTCATAAATTATTTAACTGCTGCAGCTCAGGCTTCTCTTTTTTTACTGTCTAATAAAATCAGAGAAATATAAATCTATTTTAGGTCCTTTTTTAAAATAATTGAGAGTGGTGACAACCAAAACAGGAATTGAAGCAACAATTCAAGGCAGGGTGTCAGTGAGCTGGGAGCACACCAGGAATTTTCAGCAGAAAGCTTATGAGAAGGCATTTTGCTTATTTCTGGCCAAAGATGTCTTGTTCCCTTTTTAAATTCAATAATTTATAGATTCAATGCTTGGGGTTTTCTTCTCCTGACTGAATGCTTCCTATTAAACACATAATTCAGGGGGTTACATTATTATATGCTGGGCTGCTTCCATTTCAGCCAAACGCTGTGGAAAGAGGCCTCCTTGGGAAGGTAGCAAGTTGTGCAATTGTTAAGGATGGGATCAGATCACCGTCTGATTTCCCTGGGACTGTTTTGCCCTGAGATGTTAAATAAGCACCATTTTCTTGGATGTGGCCCAGTGGCTGTTTGTCACTTGGAATTATTAACATTTATCAGCAGCTACTGCAGAACTAAAAGTAGAAAGGTCAAGGGAGAGGTAGATAAAGGTAAAAACTGAGCACAAGTGAAAAGGACACGACAAGGGTGGGCGGAGGGGGAGCCGGGGGTGTTAAAGGTGTTTAAGGGTCAGAGGCACCCCCAG